ATGTTAGCAGTACATTGTCATATTCATACGATTTGATAGTTAATGTATACAATCACCTAATTTCCAACTCTTGTTCTACATCGTCAGTTAGACATGCTGGCCAAGGGATGGTAAGATGACATGTCACAGTTAATTTGTTGCCGCTTTTACATTCTCCAAGCGAAAATAACGTCAATTCATCTACGTAAACAATGTTCATATCTCCACACTGTTCTTTCTTCACAGGATGAGATAGACTCCAGTTGCTGATCTTTTCCATATGAGTAATTATTTCATAATAGGTCTCTCGCAAAATTTGGAACTTGATAAATGTGATGTGGACTCGAACGACGACAATTTTTTTCAAGAGAACGCACATCTGCACTGTACTTTTATTATTAACGTCGTACCAGTCAAAATGAGATTTTGTTTCACATTTAGAGATTCCTCACCTGATAAAAATTTTTTTATAACAAAATCTCAATCATGCGATAGAGCAAATCTTTCTGATTAAGAAAATATGGTTGATTAATAAAAAAATAAAAAAAGGTTTGCACTTCGAAAGAACTTCCTAGAGCTCTGCAACTCGCACAAGAATAGTGGGTTTGAAAGGTATGAGTGTGAAACCCAATATTCTTTCGGTCGTTACAAAGCTTAAAAAAGAAAAGTCCCTTTCGAAGGCCAAATATGCCATTATAATTGGAAAAATTTTCTCTATCTATCGATGAAAAGTTCATCACAACAAAACTTTTATCCAGTGAGAAATCTTCGAATGAAGGAAAAAATCTTGTTTTGACTGATGCGGCACCAAAAATAAGCTATTTGAAAAATTAAACATTCCATTGAAATTCACTTTGTTTGAGCTATCGAAATTACAAAAACGTTTTGCAAAAACAAAAAATACGTTTTTACCGAAGGCCTCAAGTGGCGCCGCATTTCTAAACATCCTTTTTTAAAATCCTATCGCATTTTTAAACAACATATTTTACTATAAAAATTAGATAATGATGTTGTCAAACATCTTTGCTCTTACTATGTGGACGTATAAGTCAAAATTAATATCAATTAGGCCTAAGCCTAAGACTAAGCCTAAGCTTAAGCGCAAATACGGCAGGATTCTAGTAAAGATTCAAAGATTCTCATTAACAACGTCGCGTAATCTAAATGAAAATTCACAAGAATTTAACATCATCATTCTGAGATTGTTTAGGCAAGTCATACTAGTTACTCTTCTAGGAATATTCTATTTTTTTCAGATGGAATTTATTATACATTCAATCCAACAGATATCCATGAAAATTTGTAGTATTATTTCGTCACCAATCTACCTGATAAGAATAATCCGCTCCATCAACTAAATTACAGATTCAAAGAACCCACTTTGATCATATGTATAAGCGCTTGATCAGCCGATATAGAACTGTGTTGCTTGATTCGTGGAGCGAACAACTCATCCATCGTCGGCAGTGGTCTAGAAGTAAAGTTACAAAAATACACACTTCTCATGAGCTCTACGCACGTTTTCATCACCTAGGTCATTTGAATTCTCGCTAGGAGGCAGAGATTTTTATTAGAATTTTTGATATAATCTATGACTGCTAAGAATTCGATAAGGGAACCGTGGCCAAGTGGTTGTGATGCTCCTCGCGGCGCGCATGGGGTAAGCCTCACTCTCCAACACGCTCCAACAACGGACCCCTTATGAAACGCCGCAGCCAAGCTATCCTCAAGACTTCGAGAAGACGTGCTCATTCAATATTCTACGACGTTCAAAAAGAAGTTAAAAGAACAAATTGAATGCTAAACGTATTGAGATATGCACAGTGAAGAAAAGAGCACTGTGAAGGCGGATATCAAAGTGCTAAAAAGTAGTTCGATTAGTAATAAGTTAGCTTGATACCATCTTATAGTAGACGATTTCCAGCTGTGCAATTAGGCCATTCAGATTACAAAGATTTTCAAAAATAGTGGTTGCAAATCACAGCTATGTGATATCGTGATCGCCTTAACTTAGTCGGCAGTTGTATTACTTTTCAACGAAGCTAGTTAAAAAGCAGACATAATTCTAGCAAATTTTTTTTTATTTTTGCACAAATCCTTTGCAAAATTAACCCATTTTGCTCCACACGATCAATATACATGTCGTGAGTATGCTCACAGCCTCTCTTTGAAGCCTTTTTAAGGGGTTCTCAAGCTTTTAATTACTTACTTTTCCCATTTTGTGAGCCGGATGGTGAGCGGTGACCTTAGTAAACCAGTACTGTAATTCCTTTCTGCTGACTATGCAGATTTCTGTGTGAGGAAGTTTATTGAGAAGTATAAGTAGATGCAATGTGGAAATCCAGCTATTCATTGGCAATCTTATGAAAATTTGAACATTGTTCTGACAAAATTCGGGAAGCCCAATATAAAATCTAAGAAATTCAATGCATATATAATTGACACTTTCTCACTTGTTTGAGAGGTAGATGGGGTTCAGTGATACACCACTGAAGATTTACATTTTGCTCAGGTAACAGTCCAGTATATTTGCTGGTTTCACCCATCCTCTCCAGCTCTCCAATAACTAACTCACTGAGAACACTGTAGTCTCCCTATCTCAAAAATTCAAGCACATTTGACTCAAGCGAAGTTGCACGACATTCGAAAAAGCCATGATCGTCAAACAGCAGCCGAAATGACGCCGAAAATGTTTGAAGACCTTTTTAGGAGTTGAATGCAAAGAAGATGCGAGAACTGCTGGTTCCCGCAGTTGTGCAATGACGGGTTGTGTAAGATGATCAAGGATGATATAACAAATCTGCGCAGTAGAGTGAGTGAGAATATTAGCGAAAGAGGTGAATTATGAAGAGCTATAGGATCCAAGTAAATATGATTAAACAGAAGATAACATTTTTGATCAGTTTTGCTATGCTCTGAGATTAAAAATTCGTACCGATCATCCATTGGAGTAGGCGAAGTCGCCGAAACGTCAGCTGTTCAAATAAATAAATTTTATCAAAACCTCATGTCTATTCAAATAACAAAGAAACGGAGATGTTGAAGAGTGCCGAAATCAACAGATAGTTGCTCTTGGGAAATGGTGTACTTTTGACAAATAAGAATCATAAGACATGTTACGATTTCTGAGAATATGTGTTTTTCCCCTTAATTTCCTAAAAGTAAATGCAATCGCTGCTCGTAGTTCACTTTACTACACTTAAATAAGTGTCAATCATGGTTTCAGTCCATATTTATGTGCGTACAATAACATTTACTAATACAACAATGAGGCCTCGTCTCAATTTATAATTATAGGGTGCATAAAAAGTTCCTATAATCCTCATTTTGTTAATTTTGGCATTGATGTGCCACTTTTTTAACGATGCGAGTAACTTTATTGAATTTTTTGTCCAATGTTGCTCTAGAATATGTCTTATTTATTCATCTGTTTTCAGTTACGCCCATGTTACGGATCGTGAAAATTATTGTTTCGCAATAGTTGAGTTGCACAATATGCTCAAAGCGTTTCCGCTGTATTCGTCTCATGCTCGTGTCATAAGCGAAACACTCTACCATCGTTACATTCAACGTAAACTTCTCAAAAAGGGTCTGAAGAAGTTCGCAGCAGCAAAACATAGGCCACAGTCATTTTCAGGCTTCTCTGATGATCTGGGCCCACATTTGGGCTACGGAAAAAAGCCATTGGTCAACGAAAACGTCAAAATCAAAGCTGCCAATTATCAACAGCAAGTCTTACGGGCTCTACTGCAATCTCGGAGTTATTGCTTTGGTGCTAACGTATTTAAGCTTCAGCAGGACTGGGCTCTTGCATTCTATGATTGCCATCTGTCAAGAGCAGTTTCAAAACTCTTAGCGCAGAGACATTTGGCTATCAAGTCCGCCTTGACTCAACCCAGTGGATTACTCCGTGTGCTCCATCATACTGAAGAAAAAAGTCTCGGCTTTTCACTACTTTAGCGTAAACGCGCTTAAAACGTCTTTGACACATCTCGTGAGACGAAATTACTGTGGAAATATGTGCAAGCATCTTGTGCAAATCATCTACTGTGATCTATTTTCCCATCTCATAAGACTCATAACATTAGCACAACTGAAAACAGATAGATAAGTAAGAAAGATTAAAGATCAAGATTGAACGAAGAATTCAATGAAATTGTCGGCAATTATAGAAAATACCATACTAGTACAAACCAACAGAATTGAAATGGCACTTTCCTGTTAAACGGTGACAAATGAATATTCGACCAATTCCTTGGACAAGAATTTTTCACAGAAGTGTTAGTGATTCCGAATAATTAAGAATTTGTCCCAAGGTTTGCTTACCTGTTTTTCAAAACCCCCTTCTATAACGCTTTGGAATCCAAAGTACAATTTTGCTCCACAAAACCATGCGTTTATTTTCTTTTCTCGCTTACAATTCGTTGGACAAAACTCCAGTTTTAGACTGCTACTACACTTCGGTAAGAAAACTCTCAAAGAACTCGGAAATTCGCTTGCACTTTGGGAAGCTCTTCTAAAAGCGCTGTAGGAGAAAGAAAATGTTTCTGCCTTAGACCTTGCCAAACAAAGCTTTCTTTCAGATTATAAGTAATCACCCGATAGCGTAAGTTACAATAATTCTCTCGGTTTTTGGAAGAGTCCGTTGCACTGCAGCGTAGCAGGAAAGTAAAGATCAATTTTCACATATTCAGCAAGCTTGTTCACTGGCTAGTCCACGCTTTGACGGCGCGGCGTTCGACCGGTAGCCCAAAGTCTTAGACGTGTGAAATGTCACATGCTATTCAATTGGGGATTATGCGTCATTCGTGCATGAGTAGCAAACGAATTTGTCTCCACGACAGCTTCATCTTAGACCAAGTGTATGTAAGTTGTATAACAGAATGTTCGCAAGAAAATGCGCAACTGAACAATACCAAAATCACGCAAATTTACTCGAAATTTCTAGTGTTTTACTGCATTTTTCGCATTATTATGATGTAACATAAATGCCTGAGAGAATTGAATGATGACAGAAATACGACCTCAGACGGAAGACGAACTGGCGTTTTATCCATACCAGGGATGCGTGCTACCACTACACCACCGAGGCACATTCGCGCCACATGAATTTTGATTACTTCGGTCGATAAATTTGGTTTTTATGCTCTAGTGCCAAAACTTATGGTGCAGCCTCATAAAATAAAGTAAATAAATAAAAGAGAAAATAAATCAGATTTGGAAAAATGAATTACAAATTTGCACCTTTGACGATGAACTGGTCGTAGTTCATTACCGTTCATTGTACATAAAGATGAAAAAGACATTGGCTGATAGTATTGCTGATTGTGTTGATCAGCAGTAGAATAAAATCTGCAATGCACAATAAATGGGCAAAAATCAAAGCATTTCAAGCATGTCATAAGGTCACAAAACGAGCAGTTTAAGCGATGATTTCTTCTTCTACGAAGATTTGAGACCGTGCACAATTAAAAGCAGGAGAACCCACAATGTGCATTAGTCCAGAATTTGCTGATTGAGTGAAATAGATATATATATGTCAGTTCGCAGTTTTCTTCTTGACAACAATTATACATGTAGAAAGCGACGATTAGCCTATGAAGTTCAAAAGAAACGTCTCTTTTGTGTCGGAAATCAATTTTCAGCTAACAAATATAAAAGTCAGTAATAGAAGTCATAATTTGACTCCAGCAACGAAAAAAGGATAGAAAAGCCGGAAACCCTAATAGATGGATTTTTTTAGACGAAGTGGCAATCGACTTTATCAAAAGTTCCGATGAATAGCGCGAACTTCTAGGCATAGTCGGCAGATATGCGGTGATAAGCGCATTTTGGCTGATAAAAAGCTTCGTTATCGACTTCATCAAGGAAATATCGCAAGTCAAAAGCGCATAATCAAAATTTCTTTTTTTAGGAGAGTCTTTTTACTCTGCAAAAATTCTTGATTACTGCTATCATAGTAGTGCCAAGATGCTAAAACTATATATCTAGGATTGTTATTGGCATGAGCCCCCGGCAGGGGTGAAACGCGATTTTTACTCCTGCTAAGAATCAAATGTTTACATATCACTTTACATTCTTGAGTATGTAGTCTGAAGTCGTGACACTGCAACTATTGTGATATAAAAAGAATCCGTGTAGATAACTTACTGGATGAAAAACCATGAATGTCAACCGGAAGTCGAATCCGCAAGTCACAAACACTAGAGGAGCATTATACCATTAAACGCACCACTAAGGCAACAATCACGATTCCACTCTTTCTTCTATGTACAAGATTTTCCAGTCTTTAACAAACAAACATCAGCAAGTCTGGTTTGGTAAGCACATATGAGCTTTAAACCAATATGTACTATTGAAGTATCGGTAGCAGAGCGATTCCTCGGTGATGTGGTGGTCGAACGCGACTGCGGTGTGGATGAATCTAACTCATCTTATCCTATATAAACACTTTTTGTGGTAGCGATAATCGTGGCTCACTAGTTGGATACCCTATAACACTCCCAACGTTATTGGTTCGATCTCTGTTTCTGTGCTAACATCGACCTCATTGCTTTTTACGACAAAATACATCCGATATTTCTTTCAAATCTTAATGTAGTCATTTTATATTGATTGAAAAAAGTCCTGCAAGGGCGCTAGTAGCACAGTGGTCAGAGATGACTTTCGCAGCACATACAATCGATGGCTCGATCCTGCGCTCATGGCTCATCAAGCCATCCATCTCTCCGGATCCGGAAAATTGGTACCAGACTTGTCTGGGGACGGTGAGCAAAACTGGCTCGATTCGGCGGTAGGCCGCCCGAAATCATTGTAGAGGTCAATGGCGTTAAATCACCTCAAACGAAGGTGAATTAGTCAAATATAAAAAGTTGACTGAAGACGAATATGTGGCGCATTCCTCAGGCATTATCTAGATTAGCTTGCATCATTTCTATGTATGAATAAATGTATTCTATCATCGTATTCTATATCATGACTCATCATTCAATATCTATTTATCCTATTTTCACTTATTGTGCATGATCAAAATTTCTTCCATCTGATTCATCATCACTCTTTTCCGTCTTTCACGAGATGTTCGAGTGGCACGTGGATCTAGTATTACTTTAGGGATTTTTCTTCTTCATTAAAATTGATGTACGATGTTTAAGATGATTCTCTCTAGAGTCTCCGGATAGTCTCACTAGAAGATCTTAGTTCTTTACCAGAACCTCTAACCAGCTTTTGCGCATCATGGAGGACTTGTCTATTTCATAATGGTCTTAAACTCCTTGCCGATTCTGGAGAGGAAGGCGGCATTTGACCCTAAGGCAAGGTTAAGCCAGGCACTATCTTTTCGCATGTTACCCAACATCAACCCGTTGAATCCTATGTATCCTATGCTAAGTCTTCATGCGACAATCGGTGCTGCCGCACGACGAGCGCAGCGCAGTACACGACGACGTCGTGTTTTTGATTAAATTTGAAGTTCAGCCACTAGGTGCGGGGGGAATGGTGGGGTAGGGGGCTCAATCGTCAATAAATGGAATTATATGACAAGATAGACCTCTTTAAAGCTATGTGTGGTTGGAACTAGCCAAGACACTTAATTGTTTGTAAGAATAAAATTTCGCAGTGTAATTAGCTGCCACTTCATAGGTGAAATTCAACATTTTTCTGGGATTAGTGTACTTATTACTTTGCCGTTATCCGGCCTCAGTGCCAGTGCTCGTGGATAAGTACTTATCCGGTGGTTCTTAGAGTCTAATAGTTATTCGATGGCTAATTGTCAAAACTTGACAACGTTCCCTGTTTTTGAAACGGCTTCTCTATTGCACTGTATTCTCATTAGAGCATTTCCCGCTAAACAAAGTTTATCTTTAGGACTTTTAATATTCATCCGATAAATTGAGTTTTGTAGATTCTATCAATGTATTTTGTTTTTCTAAAAAGATTCCATGTTGCGTTGTAGCAATCAGAAGAAAACTGGGTTTCACAAAATTGGCACAGGAAAAAGCACTGTGGCTTAGCGAACGTGCTGAGAAATTGTGCCAATGTTGCGGCGAGCAAAACTCAACATTCTTTCGGGTGCTACATCTCATATGAAGTTTTTTCAAAATTCGAGCACATAATTGGAATCGCCGAGATACAAGCTATCGAATGTTAACAAAAGGCCAAAGGAAAAGCTTTGTTCCGTGAGAAATGTCTGAATGATATATAAATCCTTTTTTGCTGCTATACCGCAATAAGAAAGCCGTCCTGAAAATAAAATACATCTTTGAAATTTTTGGAATTTAAGCTATTAGATATCTGCTAAGACTGGAAAAAAAAATCAAAAGGCGCGTTTTCACAAGGAATCGAAGAAAGATGCAGACTACGACGATGGTCTAAATTTGTGAAACCAAGATTTCTTTCGATTATTGCGACTTTTACAGTGAAATTAAATTTTTTCATAAATCGGATGCATCTTTGTAATTTATGACGTTTCTGTGCATTGGATGGATTTCTGTTTCTACATCATCCGTGAGCGGTCGGTTGATTTCCTTCCCTACCTCTGCTTTTAATTGCGGCCTGACACCACCTCCGAATCAACTAGTAGAAAACCCGACCGAGGATCCGTCACCGAAACCCATTCTTTGAAAACGACATTATGAAGATCTGAAGAAGCCCTTGCAAGTTTACGTCAGTAAGCCAAGAAATATCATATGCACGACCAGTAGTACACCATTTGGAATATGTGCTGGGGTCCGCACAATTAGTGAAGATGGACCATTTAAGTGTCAAGTACCAAGTATCAAGCACAAATTTGATACTCACTTACTTGCCTAAGTAAGTATCGAGTTTGTGCATTGGATACTGATTGGTTGAAGATAGTACTAGCGTTTTATTGGACAATACATCTTGCAGAAATCGGTGTACTTAGAAACTTTCGTGGAGCTTTGTAATGAATTGATAACTGACTTCTTTTTTCAATAGCTAACATATGCACCGGCTTCTGCAGAATTGTTGTTCGATGAAAAACAAATGTTATCATTGGACAATCACTATCAGCATAAACTACAGTGTATAAAACGAAGCTGCTGGGTGAGATTCTCATTTGGCGGTGCTCCTCCGAAGAAAACGGCCTCCAACGACAACAAAGGCCATAGCGAGAGTGAACGACTATGGAACATCGTCTCGGATCGTCGGCTCCGAAGAAGATGAGGCGCATCGGAACGTTAGCCGAAAAATCCAGCAATTTCAAATTGAGTAAAATTGTCTCAATCGACCATGTAAGTACTTTTGTTTCTGAAACTAAATTCTAGCAGAGTGACAAGCAACTTCGGTTGGATCATCGCTAGCAGTTCTCGGCTCAAGTAACTTCCATTTATCAACGACTCATGAATGAGTTCTTCGACATAGAGCACGGTTTCAATAAGAGATGAGATAAAAAGCATGCAAATCTAGTTCTTCTCAAAGTAGGATTTGCTGAGATTTTCTGCGCTTGCATTTCCGCTCTTGAAGTATTTCTTAAGTTTTAGCAAGAAATTTTATTTGTATTTTTCAAATAGGAAGGGCTGTGGGTTTCTCAATCACTCATTGCAAGCTCTAAATGTAGAATTTGGGTTTTTTGATGAAGTTTATTTGATAATGATTGGTCTATTTTGTTAAATACTTCTAACGACTAAAATTTTACTTTATTCAGTATCTCGAAGAAGGCAAAGAAGAACTATGGAAACGTTTCGTGTTGGAAAAATACCCGGAAGAGGAATCAGGATTTCGTGATCCGTGGAAAAAACTGTGCTATGGCCTGGAAAAAGAGAAAGAAATATTGAAACAGTCGGTTTGAAGCGAAAATGGACAATGAAGATTCGATTATCAGTAACAAATGAAGACTCGATTATCAGTAGCAAAAGTGTTTTGAAGAAGTAGAGATCAAATTACTTAATCTGTGGCTGCATAATCACTGTATGTGTTACACTTTATACTTAGAAACGTGATCTTGTTAAGCAAACTGATTACTATGTAAATCCCTGCGGCAATTGTATAAAAAATTTCTTTCGTGTCGCGCTTAGATCTCAGCTTATGTACTTCTCAAATTTTCTTTTCGTCCTGGTTTTTGTACTTGCC